CCCTGGGCGGTGCCACTGACTGAAGTGTCTTTAGGCCATTCCCCAAAGGGGGGACATTTCTCGTTCTAATGCACAGTAGAATTGTAAATGGGCGGATCCCACAATGTCATGTTCATAACTGTGCCTAAACTACAACAGGGAACTGCTGCTTTTTCTTTCCTAAACGTTACTATCGTCATTTTCCTCTACTTCTTTTGTTATGTTTGTCACACTCTTGTGACCAGCTATTTCCGGTGTGCCTTGATAGTCGAAGCAGACTTTGTGTTGTTGAAGCTAGAGAGGTGAGCAGAGTAAGTCTGATTCTCTGTAAGGACTTGTCTGTTGACATCCACCCCTTGGCGCTCATATGACCTTATGCAGTTGCAAGCGCCGTAAAATCTCCACTAAAACTAAACTAATTCTCGCAAGACCTCACAATGACGCACATGTGGCGCCACAGAGAGTGGCGACCCGGAGGTGCGTATGGAACGAAGTAAGTTCCTTATGAGGGTTAAAGTTTACTTTTACTGCAGTCTTATCATCAAGCGCCAGATCTGCGACAGACGTCGGCAATCAAGTGTCTCCCTTCATTCCTTTGCTCGGATGCTCTAACAACAAAAAAGAAATACACAATTCTGATCTTCCCATATTACCTATCTGTTTAGGCTGTCGATAGATCAACAGAATCAGAAACAATCATCACCCTTCACAGGTAAGCTTCGATTGTTTCTTTAATTGATCGCTTTTAAGTACAAGGGGGTTATCCCGATAAATGCTGTTTTGAGAAATTCGAAGTTTTCTTTAAGACAAGCAGAGTTTTCTCTATAACCAAACAAATATACACACCACTGAAACCAAACTTCTCCTATAGGTAGGGCGATGCCCACTTGTGGTGTAGGTCAAGATTTCTGGATAACCCCGAAATCGGAGTTAACCCACTTGTCCTTAAAAGCGACCAATTTAGGCTCTGCGAGTAGGTTGCTTTGGGTCTACCTCTGCTTCGTTTGTCTTTAATACAAACAAACAATGAACATCCCTTAATCTGTCACAGACACAAACAAACAATTAGTATCTCCCTTAATCTGTCACAGTCACACACAGACAATGAACATCCCTTAATCTGTCACAAACACAAACAAACAATGAACATCCCTTAAGCTGTCACAGACACAAACAAATAATGAACATCCCTTAATCTGTCACAGACACAAACAAACAATGAGTGTCCCTTAATTTTCCACAGACACAGACGAACAATGAGTATCCCTTAATATGTCACAGACACAAACAAAAAATGAACATCCCCTAATCTGTCACAGACACAAATCCGTACCCGTCTCTGACGAAGCTGGACCAGAACGCTATCAAAGCCCGACTAGCGTCCTGGTCGGCGGACGTGTAGTTCCGCTTGGAGTGTCCGGTGAGTGGACAGCCGAACAGGTAGAACAGATCCTCGCCGTGCGGTACACCTGAGGGGAGCGGTAGTTCAAGTTGTTAAGGGACTGAACTTATTTATTTTTTATCATTATACTAATTTCCCAAGGACTTAAGCTTCTGCGGGGGGTGGTTGGCGGGTGCTCTGGTGTGGTCTGCTCCTTCTTTCTTATCAAACATCTATCTTCCTTATCTCCCCTTCTTCTTTTTATGTTTGTTACTCTCTTGTAACTCCTCTAATCTCCTGACGCTCATATGACCTATTATGCAGTTGCGAGCGCCGTAAAACCTCTACTAAAACTAAACTTTTTTTTTCTCCCTTGCCCATTTATATGAGATTGACGCCATCTGATTAGTAGAAAAAAGTGCATATGATTGTGTCCAATAATGTATTACATGCATACTTAGTATATCATTTAACTGTATTAGCGGATAGAGATTCCAGGATTATAGATGTAAGTCATTGATCTGAGAGAGGTGATGATTTTAGCATTAATAGTGGTGATGAGTCATGATGAGGGATTTCGTTTAAGTAATGTTAGCGTTAGTCCTATCTTCCTCTGCTCCAATGAGTCACGAGGGACGTGGGCACACTCTATCCCGTTCCCAACTGGAACCATCTTTATGGTCACCATGAAGTTCCGAAATGGTGGGCTCAGTCTCTGCTAAGGTGACATCGTTAGTGTTAGCCTATTCTAAAACTAAACTAACTAAGCTTCTACAGCTTTAAAACGTATAAACGTCCTTTAAGGGTACAGCAGTGACAGTACCACAGCCATTGAGGTTCACAGTGTGGGTATTGGATCACCCATTCTGACCATTTCGGGAAATAGATTTTATTGGGACTTACCAGAGCGCTTAATGCAAACGGAAACTGGGGGGGGGGGGGGGATAGTAAAGTCTGTGGGTCAGTTTGGGGGTGGGGGAGGTGGAGGTGGTCGGGTTGGGGGGATGGGAGCTGGAGGTTGAGGGAGTTGGGGGGGGGGATAGGGGGAGGGTTGCTGAAGGGTTTCCTGGAAGGTAATGGGAGATGGGGGATCGGGAAGGACGAGGGATTTGGGTGTGCGAGAAAGATGCACGGAGGTTTGTGAGATGTAGGAGGGAAGGGGTGTCATTTGTTCGGGGTATTTGAGTATTTGAGAGAGAAAGTAATATGCACTATCACCCCCGCCAACCCCCCCCCCCACCCAAAAAAAACCAACAACAAAAAACAACAACAACAACCCAAAAAACCCAACATAAATGAAAAAAAAATGAAAATTTTAAAACAAGATTAAGTCCAGAAAATCAAATGAAATTATTGTGTTGTTTACCATAATTTTTTTAAGTTAAAAAAAAACAACAACAACAAAAGAAAAAGATTAAGTCAAGAAAATCAAATTAAAATTATTGTCTTGTTTAGTTAGCACTTCTTGATAAACATCGAGATTTGGGTGACGCAGTAATTCGCTTCTACCCATACGTTCAACTGGAGAGCCCTAGACAGACAGTCTCAGCTCTGACAGTGAAGGGGTTAATTTAATGAATTTACTCACCCATCCACCGCGGAAAGACCGATTTTTCCGACAAGTGCTCAAAGCTGTACATGTACACGTTGTTGCTGTTGGGGTCGGCCAGAAAATTGGCGACCTTGACTGCCGGGGCTGTAAACGTCACGTCTCCCGCTAGCTATAAATAGGAAAAGAAAAATAACTTAGTAAAGTAAACTGTTTTGGTTAGTGTTTTACGGCGCTCGCAACTGCATAAGGTCATATGTGTCATGACGCAGTGGAATCAGGCGCTCTTCAATATTGGGCATAGGGAGTCATTGGTATCATTTTAAAGGTTAGTCATTTGCCTTGCTTTCGATGAAAAAAGTATCCATTTACCTTGAATAGAAGTCGAGATATTTGCTATTAAAGGAGGTAGGGGTTGCCTGGTAGCAGAGGTCAAATTAGCGAGAAAATGACCGTCAAAAGCTGGCAACTTCCAAAGCTTGAGAGACCTTGGAAACTGCAAATTTACAATTTTGTGCTTTTAATCAATGTTTTTCAGTAAAATCGACACAGAAATATATTTTTAAACGTACGTAAACTATACTGAGCCAAAAAATAAAACAAACAAAGATTCATTGAAAATTGCGCAACTGGTGGAAAAATGCCATTATCTTCAATTTCATGAATTTGACGAGCGCCTGATTTCACCACACTGTCTCACATATGAGCCTGGTGAATAAAGGATGTTTAAGGACAGTTGAGAAAGTTCTTGAAATGGACATGTATGAGTTCATTTAATGTGGCTGTGTATCCGTTTGTGCCATGTGCATGCGCGCGTACACGCGCGCGCTCGTGTGTGCGTGCGTGTGTGTGTGTGTGTGTGG